CAATATTATAAAATACTGAAATTACTGATTCAATTGTGTCCAGTAAATTGAATGGTTCATTCTTCAATTTGATATTTCCCATTTCAAGACTTGTCATTTGAAGTGAAGTACTGAAAATGTGAAGTAACAAATTGGCATTATTATAAATATCATTCACCAATTCAAGATACGGTTGTTCAGCTGTTGAATCTCCACATGAAGATTCACAATCACTCGAATAGTGTCCATCATCATTTGAAACATGCAAAAATCCATTCTTTGCATTCATTGGTGAATGAGAAGGTGATTGTAAAATGCTGTTCTTTCTTCCTCTCTTTTTTCTTTTATCTGAATGACTGTTCTTTTCCATATCATGTCTCAAAATTGTTGAAGCTCCAATAATACCATGCAATGGATTTCTACATAGGAATAATTAAAACAATTCCAAAATGTGAATTTGAATTAATTCGAACTGATACTGGTAATACATACCTTGCTTCATGTGAAATATTTGCAATCATGTGAGTCTTCTCATTGCTCAAATACTTTTCCTGCATGTAAGCAAACCTTTGTTTATAATGATATCTTTTTTCTTCTGCATATATTTTTGAAAAGAACAAGCACATAATGGCTATGGAAGTCATTACTATCCCGTTGCTTACTATAGATTCTATTGGATACCCCAAAATCATCATTGGAATAAGCGAACCAGATACGAAAATTACTGTAGATATTAAGGAGGTGATAAGATGGTCTCCAAAAATATGACAAGAAATTATTAATTTGAGTATTGTCAATATATATATGGATAGCTTAGTGTAATACATTTGCATTATGAATCCATAAGAGGTTGACAGAACTGTTCTGCATAAATGAATTACATTCTTCCTTGCCCTAGTTGGAGATTTACAGCATGTTAAATAATTCAGATAAAGATTACTAAAAACCTCCACTGCAAAAGTTGCAAAGTACAGAGCTAGAGATTGTTCGCATCCTGAAAGCTTGTACATTGTTAAAAATACTAAAACGAAATATATCCCAAAATACCTAAACCAAGAGGTCATAAAGAATAGGTTTTGTTGAGAAAGAGCCCTATAAGCCTCTAAATATTTAGGTTCTGAGTTTTCCTTGAGTATTCCAATTTTTAAAAATATAAAGAATGGTACTGATTCCAGTATTGGGTTAATTTCTGATTCGTCTGTTTCAATATTGACATTAGATACCGAGTTAGGAGTATTTGGTGTTAAAACAATTGATGCTAATGAGGGCGATTCTAGATTTTTGGGCTGGTGATCTATTTTTGTTTGTCCTCTCTTATCGTTAGATTGTTTGTTCATTTCAACTTTTGTGTAAGTTGTTTTGTTAGAGTTTTGAAAAAGAGAATTTCTCGAATTTTGAAAAGTTAGTTTGTTTTTCTGCATTTTCTCTTTTTCCTGATCCTTAGTTTTTGGTAATATTGGAATTAAGTTACTTTTTGATGATGGAAATAAATAATTAGTTGTTGGCATTGACAGGCTGGCTGTTCTCGTTCCTCGATTTTCAAGAGACCTTTTATCATCAATATTCCTCCTATTTTTAATGATATCATCCACAACGAGAGTACTTGTTGTTGGCATCTTTGTAGTATTACTTCCACAATCAATGTTCGGAACAGCAAGAGTAGATGCTGCAGATAATTCATCATTATTCTTCACCTCCGTGATTAGATTTTCCTTCATGTTAGAAATAGAATCGCTCGCTTGTTGCTGTGGGGGACTAGCATTGATAGTTAAAGTGTTAAACCCAACACCACTATCCTGATTAGTACGTACTTTACCTCCAACAAATGATGATTGGTCATCGAGTTCACTTTTATCTTGTGGCATTTTTTTAAAAAGGCTTGGCTCTCAGTTCTGGCGAATTTTAACCAACCTCCATTTCTGCTGTCTTTTGATCGTTGTTGGGATGAAGCGAAAAAGGTCAAGGATGTGCCCAATCTGGGCAGGAGGTAAGATACTAAATTGTATCTCCTCCAGACGTCTGTTTGGTTCAGAATCAGTTTGAATCTCTTTTGATTTATTGTAAACATTACTATTTCCAATAAAAAATAAATGACCAACATACAGCATTTGAATGAGGATGTCTTGGCTGTGATGATAGAGTACCTAGCATTGGGTGTGCATGCAGAGTTTGTTCCGTGTGGTTTCGTGCAAGTGCTCTTGTCCCTAGCAAAGTGATTATGAAGGCAAGAAACTCGGAAGACCTTGATAGTTTAGCAGAGTGACATTTGCAAATAATCCAACTTTCTCAAATCTAACCCAATTGCACATCTCTGATTGTACAACTATTGAAGAAAGACACATCATGCCACTAGTTAGTGGGAAGTACATTACACACCTTACCGATCTCTCCCTTAAATCCATGCCAGGATATATCTGTACAAACTCAAAGCACCTACCTTACAAAGTTAAAATATTTGAGATTGAATTATAAGGAGACAAAGGTGTTGATTGTATTGTTTCAGGAGAAAATATGAAAAATCTGGAAATTTTACTCTTGGACGACACTGGATTGACTGGGAAAAGTATTATTTCCTTGCATGAATCAAACTCTCTTCAAAACTTGATTGAATTAAGTATTGCAGATAATAACCAAATTACCAAAGATAACATCCAATTCTGTCTCTCAAATCCAACAAAACTGAAAAGGTTAAGAAAGCTCACGCTTCCTAATTGCTCAATTCCTTCTCGACTGCTAAACATAACACCTCTTGCAAGTCAATTATCTCATCTCACCTACGATAATATTTATCTAGTCGATGAATATGATGAACAGTTTGCTTGGGAGGAAGAAATAGACGATGAGTTCGTCTAATACTACTATTGTTTCGTTATTCATGAACTCCAACCATAATATTCAAGAAGGACCTACCCATTACAATATTTTCCTGTCAAGATACAAAGTCCCCACATCCGTTCTCAAGC